CCTTGCCGCCGTCGGAAGGCCTCCGTGGTAGACATGGGCCACCTCCTCTCGCGGCTGCTGAGGGAGAGCACCGACGAAGGCGGCTCAAGGGTACGCAAGAGGCGCGGCAAGGGATTGCGGGAGGTGATAGATCTCAGTGCGAATAGGATTCAAGCTAACAAGGCCAGTGCCTCCAGGAGGGATATTGGCGATGTGAGCAACATCACACTGGAGGAGGTGCCTGACGATAGTCTCGAAGAGGTAGCCATCTCAATCTCATGTGTCATGGTTTAAGAAGAATTTTACATAGTTTGCTGATACCCATAGTAAAATGGTTAGTGCACATGCGTTCACCTGGATGTCATTTGGATATGCATAGTATGTCTCGCGGAACTTGCGCTCTTTAGTTCTCTGTTTATGAACTTGTTTAGCTAGAGCGAATTCGCCCATAAAACTAGTAGAAATTTCGTTTGGAGGAAAACAATTCACTATGACCTTTAGCAGCTATGATTTGGAAATGGATATTTCTGGGTTACTCACAAAGAGTGGATGTTTCACTCCTGAAGGGTTAACTCTGCTTTCGAAGTCTAGCTCTGTTAATTAAATGGATTAATTAGTGCACTGTCGATTAGCCTGTTAGTTGTGACTCTTTTTAACAGTTCTTCAAAATATAACTCCCATATCTTGTACTTGTCTATCTCAGGATCTGTCTGAATTATTTGCACCTCTCACAAATGAAGAAGAAAGTGAAGTAAACAACTTATTGAATGGTAGTGCTCACAGGTACACTTGACAACAATGTCCAGTAAATTTTATTCAATACTTCTACTTTATCTTATTAGCACCATTAAACATTAACCATTCTCTTCTGTTTGCAGTAAAAAAATAATAGTGCTGCATAAGTCTTCAAACATTGAGATTACCAAAGAGAAACTATGGTGTTTGAGGCCTCGGGGTTGGTTAAACGATGAGGTAAATATTCATATGGAAGAACCTCCTTCATCAAAGAAAAAACCCTGAAGAATATGTTTAAATGATGTTCCATTCTTTCTTAGCCTGATGTTGCAAGGCTTTATCTTGTAATTCTATTTTTCCCTCCTTTCAGGTCATCAATTTGTACCTTGAATTATTAAAGGAGAGAGCAGAAAGAGAACCCCAAAGATTTTTAAAATGCCACTTCTTTAACACATTCTTTTATAAGAAGGTTAGCTGATCCACATTCTTTGCTTTCTAGTACTTGTCTGATGAAATATTCTTCCAGTCTGTATTCTGCTACTTACATCAGTTATGACTTATATCTGGTAGCACTGCCCAGGTTATGTTTCTGCCTTGGTTGCTGGGATTTGATAATACTTTTGTCATAGTGGGGACTACCAGCAAATTTGGTGCAGGAAACTGGCATTTCAAGCATATAAGATCATTCATCATCCATTAATTTAAGAATATGCATCTCCTACATGTAAGGGTGGGGGGATCTCCTTAACGGATCGTGAGCTCGTCTTAAAAAATGAGTTGATTATTCTCATCACTTCGTTAAAAACTGAGATGTGTTGTTAAATGGCTTGTTAACTCGGTTTGAAATTGCTTCAATTATTCACGTTACTTTGTTCAAAACTGGAGTCAATTTTGAATTAAACTCAACTATGCTCTGGCTCGTCTTGTTAGCTCAATTTTAAAATTGCTTTGAAACTTCAAATAATATTATATTAAATCAAAATGAGCCAGTTCCGAACAAAGTTTGATAGTTAGTCTACCCAGGCCTGGCTTGTTTTCCACCCCTACCTACATGACTTGGTCTGTTTACCCATGCCTCATGGTTACGAAAATTCATGACTGTTTTGTTGAAGTACAATACATATGGATGCCTGTTATTCTTATATCACTGTTGTATGTTGCTCATCCAGCACGAGTCTGCATTATTTTTCTGATTGTCAGATCCCCTTGCTATTTGACTATGTGTTAATATCCTTGCTTGTTAGATTTTTCTGTCGTAAATTTTGACATGTAGCTAGTATTAAACAGTGGACACCTCATGACATTCTGTGTTCTTGTTCAGCTTGCTTGTGGAAAAACTGGTTATGACTATCAATCTGTTAGAAGATGGACAAACCCCAACAAGTTGGGTTATAGGCTTGCGGATTGTGAGAAAGTAAGTTACTACTGGATCCACTTTTCTTGTTACTAGCCTTTTTTTTACATGTTCATTTCTCATGTTACGCTTACCGTTAGAATTTGGTTTCAGATATTTATTCCAGTACACAGAGATGTACATTGGTGCTTGGCAATTATTGACATGAAGGAAGAAACTTTTCATTATCTTGATTCTCTTGGTGGCAAGGACAGTGGCGTACTGAGGATACTGGTAGACTTAACTGATGTCTTTGAAATAAAATACTATCTGCTTAATTGATGTCTACGAATAAAGTACCATCGATAATCTCCAATTACTTCTATCATGAGTTTTGAAAAAATGGTTCCTTAACAATCCAATGATTATGTATAAGCTTTGAGGTGATTGTCTGAAATCATTCTGTGGTACGCATGTTTTGGTTTCTCTGTGTGGATGACACAGCTAGTTCGCAGTAGTAGTAAAAAGCGGACTATTATTTTACGACTGATCTATCCGTGTCATTCACATTATGACTGATCTATGTGTGTGATCAATTCTCTATGATATATATAAGGAAAATGTTTACATGTTTTTCATGATATTATTTTATCTTATAGACCTATGTACTTAAGAGTTCTCTTTTATCTTTCATTATTTAAGATGTTTGCATGTTTAACTTACCAAGCAGCAAATTAACATTATTATTTGGAAATTTAAAATATATATCCATTGGTTTCAGTTGTAGTTTGTTTTGCTAATCATGTTTATATTTGTTAAACTGGATTTATGTTTTCCTGTTTCTGTCAGGCTAGATATATTATGGATGAATTGAAGGACAAGAATAACATAGAGATAGACACAAGTTCTTGGCGGGAAGTATCTGTTCATATTCCTTTGCAACATAATGGGTACACTTTCTTTCCACTGCTTGCAGGCCTAAATTCAGCTGTGACTTAAGGAATAACAGTTTAGTTTGGTTGCCCCAAACAACCCATATGAAATGTCAATTATCACCACTCAGTGCTTTACTGCATTTTGATGATATACGAGATAGAGTTGGGGTAGCACCAATTGAGGAGAAGCTTGTCCAACATCGTTTGAGATGGTTTGGGCATATTCAGCGCAGGCCTTCAGAAGCTCCAGTGCATAGCGGACGGCTAAAGCGTGCGGAGAATGTCAAGAGAGGGCGGGGTTTGACATGGGAGGAGTCCGTTAAGAGAGACCTGAAGGATTGGAGTATCACCAAAGAGCTAGCTATGGACAGGGGTGCGTGGAAGCTTGCTATCCATGTGCCAGAGCCATGAGTTGGTTGCGAGATCTTATGGGTTTCACCTCTAGCCTACCCCAACTTGTTTGGGACTAAAGGCTTTGTTGTTGTTGTTGTTGTTGTAGTGCTTTACTGCATTTTCAGCAGCAATTATTGTTTACCTGAAAAATCTGTTTTGTATTCTTTATAGCAATAAGTACACATGGATTTGTTTGATGTGGAACTTCTTTTGTAACAGATGGGATTGTGGTATGTTTATGCTCAAGTTCATCGATTTCTACAGCAGAGGTCTCATACTATCTTTTAGTCAGGTGTGTATAATAGACATCTTCTGACTGTCAACTTCATAAATATGCTTGATTAGGGTTCTGTTGAGGTCCTTGAGTTTTTGTGAGCTCGAGGATTATCAGGATAGGCTGCCAAAAGGGCTTATACAAAATCAAGTTCAAATTGAAGACATGAGGCTTCATCTCTCTTGCACACACATATACCGTGGGATATGTGTTTACCTGGTATTATGTAGTTTAATTTGGTTAAATCAATTACTCTTTGCAGGAACATATGGAATATTTTAGGAGGCGGACAGCAAAGGAGATCCTGAGATTAAGAGCTGATTAAGAATGACTTGTTTATGACCAACATTCAGACATTTTCCGAAGGTATTCTTCTTGCATTCCACTTGCCAAGATGCGAGGAAGTATTTCTCGGCCGTCAACAACTGGAGTTGTGGTGATTATAAGCTCTAGGAGTGATCACCATGCCACCACAGTTTTGTAAGATCTTTAATTCTTATATTCATCTAGGATCTGATTTTGGTAGAATGGAGGGTTGGAAAAGAGATATATAGGGAAGACAGTAAGACAAGTTTAGAGGTAGAGTTCTCTGCTCACCGCTGCTCACCGCGATAGCATGTAGCAATAATTGCAATTTGGAACTAAAGAGAGGTTGACCCTGTACCTCTTATTCTGTTAATAACTTAACATTGCATGTACTACTGTGGGAACTTAATCAGGCAGTGAGGTTCTGTGATCACGATGTTTATCTTGGTCGTTATTGCAAGGTTGCAACATCCACAAATGGTGTTCTATAGAGAGAAAGAATATCACGCATCTCAATGTCAGTCAAAAGTTTCAACGAAGTGACAAATGTTGTCATTGTAAGGAATTTGATCCTAATGTTTGGAGTAACTTAATCCTAATTTCTGAATTCCTTTTTTTGTGATGCTAGTTTTTGAATTCCTCTGAGCACAGACCAAAATACCTTACATAAACCTTCAACGAGTATGGATTCACATTTAACCAAGTCAGAACCCAAACCCAAACAGGTCCGAACCGTTGCTGAAAAATCCCAAACCTAAACAAGCCAGATTAATTATAAATATACTTGGAATTTTTACATTCAGATAATCACTACAAGTTTGCCCCTTTTTACATCTTGGCACACAAGTGACCTCCCAATTACAGACCAATTCATTCAGCAGGATAGATCCAACTATATTACAGTCATGCCAAATGAAGATCTAACCAACAACAATGGGAAATCCCATTTTTGTACGAAATCTACATGTTCCATCAGACGCCCAAGAATGCTCTGCACTGGGACTCCCAATGCTCCTTAGCCAGACGAACACGTTCAACTCGCTCCATCTGCATTCTCTTCTCCCAGTACTCCGGACAACTGTGGATAGTTCAACAATTCAACACTGATAAACTAAATCGCGAGAGACAGAAACATGTTCTCACATCTCTGCTCACTGAAAACTTGTTAGGGTGTGCACTTACCTATAGCTAAGTAGCATGTTCAGCTCGTCCAAGTGCACAGCATCAGGAAAGACCCCAGCCTGAATTGGGGAAATTAGGTCAGTCGGCTGGGCATTCACAAATATCTGTTCGACGGAACTGAATATTTATACCTGTCGGCACAAAGGGCACTTTGATCTGTGATCTGCGGACTTCAACCCATCGACAATCGTCACCGATGCAGCAGAGCAGCAGCACAAGTAGCAAAATATGTGGCCACAGGAAAGCGAGACCGGATCAAACATTGGGTCCTGCAAAAACAAGTTGTAAATTGAAACATTACAAAGGGTCGAGGAAAAGTTGTCACCACTGTAGGTTGAAATAATATAACCAGTGTATGCTGGTGTTGCGATTGAGAGAAAATTCGCAATGCTAAATAGATCTTGTCTTAGATGCATGTCAGAAGTGCGAGCTCACCAAGCAAATTGAACATGTCAAGCTGATGTCAACGCGCATAGAGTCAAAGAGGTTGCATGAGAGCGTTGGCTGGTCGTCATCAAATGTGAGCGAGCAGTCACCAAAGAGCTCCATCGCAGTCTCGTTGTTCTTGCTTCTTCTCAGGTTCATGTAGAAAGCCATTAGCTCAGATAGCCATGGGGACTGAAGTATCTCAATGTGCAGGCTCTGGGCCTGAGCTTTGAACTCCTGTCCTTGCTTCGAATAGTGTATCTGCAGAGTATATGCTTTTGGTCATTCCTTTTTAATTACTCATTGATATCCAACTATTATTATTATCTGAAATGCAAAGAGAGCTAGAACTTAATAGTTCTTGTTGAAGTCTGATTCCATCTAATGTAGGAGCATCCAGCTTTTTCTTCTTTTTTCACTTTTGTTAATATTCTATTGAAAACGTAAATGTGTTTTCGCTTTTAAATAAAGGCAGGACAAAGGCCATACCTTGTCATACTTCTTGAGGATCTTCCTCATAGCCACGGCGTTTATAATCGCATACGTGACCAAGTCTTTGCCTTGCTGTATTAACTGCCCATGGTTCTTGTGACGCCTGTTGCTGAACCACATGACGTATTTCTTGAACCCCGACGCCAAGTGCAGTTCGAGGAGCTTCTTGGCCTTCTCGTTGAAGCAGCCTACGACGGCTGACATCTCGTCGAGAAGGGACGGGAAGAAGCTGCCATCACACACTGCATATTGTTTTTAACAGTTTGTCAACTAACCAACCATGAAAGGTACTAGTACATGAATCGCCACTTGATCTTGAAAATATTCACAATGCCAGTTGGAACCATGCATGAAATATTCTTTCTTTTTCAGCAATTTTCTGTCTTTTATGAGATAAAAAGTTGGAAAATCAGAATAGGCAACTTGATGATTATTAAAAGTTGCGAAGTCGGGGTCAGAGGAACAGATGCGCCAATCACAGTATGCTCCTTGCTGAACCTATGAGCAGAGCACAGCTGACTCTATACTGGTTGGCTGTCTTAGGTTATACCAGAATTTTGTAAGCGAATTTACTAATAGTTTTCATCGCATTCGGCACTTTGACTCTTAGAAACGTTGACATTTTTAATTTGTTAGCCGTGCCCACGGCATAGTCTAGTGCGTGAAGCCACATCTCTAAGAGTATTCTGTTTGAACTTTTAACTGATAGTCGTTGGATGTGGGCCTCTTGGCCTCGTAGTGGTAGCGTAGTGGCGCCTACAAGATGTGCTGGTCTGCAGGCGGAATTTAAGCACTCTGATTTATGTCTTGTTTTCCTTTTTTTGAGGAAAAGTTTATCTCTTTGTTTTCTGAACTGATAGTAGAATATGCAAGCATACAGCCAACAGCTGTGTCGACCACACGAGGACGGCGGAGCCTAAAATTTCTTCATGGTAACAACACCTTTTCTTTTATCTACAGAAAAATGGCAACACGAATTTTGAACGGGATGGTGAGGATATGTATTTTGAAAACAAAATCTAGGGGATCCTGGGTTGCGGAGCAAATCATGAACCCTCACATTTGTTGCTTTGATTGCCTCCATTGATGCATCTCTGCCCATAATAGTCCGGGAGAAGCTTGGTGAGAGGGAAAAAAAATTCTCTAGCAGGCCGGTAATTGAGATGAAAGGTGGACATGGTAAAATGTGCATGTGGTTTCTCTTTCCCAGCAAGCACCGCCTTGTAGAAAGAATACCAAAGCGAGGGTGTAGGTGCAACCGTGCAGGTTCCATGCAGAATTCGTCAAGCTGATCGCAGCGTGAAGCAACTGAAATGCCAAAAATATTGGCAGTTTGGCACTGACGGCGACCAGTGCCGGTCATCTTCTAGGTTTGTCATCTTGCCGTAGGGGGAATCCCCACCACGGGCCTATTCAGAAAGAAGAAGAAGAAGAAGAAAAGCACCGGGAAAAGATTCCAGCGGGTCAACATCAATGTGCTCACCGGGAAAGAATCCACCACGGAGGCACGGACCTCATTCAGAAAGAAAACCGGGAAATGTTCCCGGATAGCACGCGGGGCTCCGGAGCGCGGGCCAAAATTCGTCAAAGGAAATCAATCAAGAACAAGAAACAGAGAGATAGGATGAAGGAGACAAGAGCGGTCGTGGTTTTGTTTACCGGAGCAATGGCCGGTGCACCGGGCTGCGGCGGCGTCGGAGGAGGAGGACGGGGAGGAGGCGCCGGTTTTGTGGTGCGGGGTGCGGTGGGAGCGGCATTTCTTGAGCATCTTCTTGAGGCGCTTGAGCCCCACGGCGGGGAGCTCCTGCTCCGCCGTCCTCCTGATCCCCCGCATGTACGTCTCGTACCTCTTGGTGAACTTCATGGCCGCCCGGCTGCCCGGCTGGTTCCGCCGCTCGAGCCAAACAAAGGCACCAAAATAACAAGGAAGGATTCCAAATTCCGGCAGGCCGCGGAAGAAATGGTGGGCTGGCGGCTCAGAGACGGGGATTATTGCTGTTGGCGTTGGATGGTGGATGAAGCACGAGAAAGAGGCAGGCGGTGGCGGAGGAGGAAGGGAGTCACGCGCCGGCGCGGCTCACGGACGGGCGGGCGGGCGGAGGCGAAGATGGTGTGGGCGTGGAGCGGTTCACGTGAAGAGGGAGGGAGGTGGGAGGAAAGCTTGAGGACGGACGCGGTTGGGAGCAGAGAGGAAACAGAGGCTTCTTCCGGCGGCAGCGGGCGGTATATATGGCCTGGCCGGTCGAGGCGACGGGCGGGGTGAGGGGAGGGGAAAGGGAGCGAGGGATGGGATTCGCGACGAGACGACGACGCGGCCATTTCGCCCGGCCGCGGTCGCGGTCACGGTGCCCCGCTCGTTTGCTTCGTGTCGTTTCCCCTGTTTTGCGATGCGTGTGCCGGTTGCTAACGAGAATCAGGATATGGCGGGGCCTGTACGATCTCCCATTCTCCCAGTGCGTGACGGAGGGCCGCCGCCGGCGGCGGCGCTGCCTGGCTGCCCCCGCCGGAATGGAGTTTACCCCGTGCCCGGTTGCAATCCTGTCCTGTGCTGTGCAGCACACAGCGCAAGGCTCAAACATAAACCTGGACCGGGTAGCCCACCGAACCACTGCATGTCTGCATCCATCGAGAAGATGATACGCCCTGATGTTACGTGCTGATTGATCCAAGGCCTAACCGGGTTAATTGCAGGAAGCTACCACACTTCGGCACCATGTTACGAGTCAGTATCACTAATCGTGTTGGTCGCAATTCAGTATCATTTTGGGGTCTAAGTGTTGCAAAAAGGTCTAAATCATGTATAACAACGTATTGACGTTTTATCTGACCGTTGGGGCCCGCCTGTCAGGGCCTGACAATGGCATGTTTTTTTTACGGAAAACCCCTTTACCTTTTATTTAAACACGCATAAATCCCTTGGTTGCCAAAAAAAGGACCGGCCTGGAATTTTTGTCTGACAAACCCCTTTACCTTTTATTTAATCACGCATAAATCCCTTGGTTGCCAAAAAAAGGACCGGCCTGGAATTTTTGTCTGACAAACCCCTTTACCTTTTATTTAATCACGCATAAATCCCTTGGTTGCCAAAAAAAGGACCGGCCTGGAATTTTTGTCTGACAAAAATAAGGCGCGTGCAACAACGCTCCCGCAGAGGTTCGAACCCGAGCCAGGTTATTAAAGGTGCATGCTCGTTGCCACTGCGACATCGAGTCACCTGCTACGAAACTAAGCACTCATATTTTTATATGTTCTACCGCTAATTTTTTAATATTTTTCTTTCAAAACTATTTTATTTATTTCAGATCATGGGTATTTTCAGCACCGAAGAGGACTCGTTTGAAAGTTTCCGTCACACTAAACAAATTAACAAAAATAACGTGAAAGCAGAATTCGAACCCTGGACATTCCGCTCGAGCACACCGCATCCACTCAAGCCACCACGCAAGGACAACCGTTACGCTTTCAGAAGGCGGGTTTCTCTTTATACTAGTACCGACACGCTGGGCAGGCTGTTGGGCGTAGGGGCAAGGTTTCGCGCGGTGAGTTACTGATTTGTTTTAATCATGATATTAAATACATTAAATTTGTTTACTTTTATTTAAAAAATCAATGTATTTCTCGAACTGAAAGAATGATTTTACACAATAAGTTTTCTGTACACATTGAACATTTTTTGAAATACACATTGTAAAAAAATGTAAGAAAATGTCACCTTAAATTACAAAAAGTTCACCGCACATTATGTAAAATCATCATATCTTAAGAAAAAAATTCAACTTATATTAATTAAAAATAATTTGCACCTAAAATATGTTCAACATATATATGACAAAAAATTTCATTTTGTATATAAATTATGTTCAACATATATTATCAAAAGATCATTATATTAAAAAAATCCCCATCTGTAAAGAAAAGTTCATATTGCATTAAAAAATGTTCATTATACACAGGAAAAGTGCGCAGCATGCACTAAAAAAATCATGCATATTTAAAAACATGTTCATCATATACTAACGCCTATTTAAAAATATATTATGTAAGTATGTTCAAAATTCAGGAGAAAAACCAACCTAATGAATAAAAACCTAAAAATAAGCCACAACCAGAAACAAAAATAAAGCCTAAGAGCAGCATGCACGCTAAAAAAATAAATTGCAGGCCTCAGTGGGCCCAGCAGCCGGCCTATTCTAGAGGTTATAGTACAAAAATGGCCTCGCCTGGAACGTACCGCTGGTCCGTAGTGGCGTATTGGCTAGCTGGCGATTCCTGCGAACAGAGGGTCATATGTTCAAACCCCGCGACAGTTATATTTTTGTTAAATTAAATTCCGCGCGCATCGCCTCCTCCCCGGTTCGAATCACAGCGGGGCGCGCGTGCATGTTATTTTCAACAGAAAAAATAAATCCAGTAGGGTATTTTTTTGGCAACTAAGGGATATACGCGTGTTATTTTTTTGACAGTTATATTTTTGTTAAATTAAATTCCGCGCGCATCGCCTCCTCCCTGGTTTGAATCACAGCGGGGCGCGCGTGCGTGTTATTTTCAACAGAAAAAATAAATCCAACAGAGTATTTTTTGGCAACTAAGGGATATACGCGTGATTAAATAAAAACTGAGGGGGCTTTTCGCAAAAGAACACGCCACATCAGCACCTGACAGTTGGGGCCGCATGGTCAGATACAGGGTTATACGGCCGTCTGACCTTTTTGTTACAATTAGGCCCTAAAGTGGTACTGAACTGCGACCAACATAACTAGTGATGCTGACTCGTAACATGGTGCCGAAGTGTGATAGCTCCTTGCAATTAACTCCGCCTAACCGGATAACTACCTCCACTCCATGCAAGTGTTGTGTTTGTCTAGTACTACTTCCTTCCTTGCCTTTTGTAGTAGTACTACCGCACCACCTTCTTCTGTTTCCAGTTCCATCATATGCACGAACCCCGCGACAGTTATATTTTTGTTAAATTAAATTCCGCGCGCATCGCCTCCTCCCCGGTTTGAATCACAGCGGGGCGCGCGTGCGTGTTATTTTCAACAGAAAAAATAAATCCAGTAGGGTATTTTTTTGGCAACTAAGGGATATACGCGTGTTATTTTTTTGACAGTTATATTTTTGTTAATTAAATTCCGCGCGCATCGCCTCCTCCCCGGTTCGAATCACAGCGGGGCGCGCGTGCGTGTTATTTTCAACAGAAAAAATAAATCCAGTAGGGTATTTTTTTGGCAACTAAGGGATATACGCGTGTTATTTTTTTGACAGTTATATTTTTGTTAAATTAAATTCCGCGCGCATCGCCTCCTCCCCGGTTCGAATCACAGCGGGGCGCGCGTGCGTGTTATTTTCAACAGAAAAAATAAATCCAGTAGGGTATTTTTTTGGCAACTAAGGGATATACACGTGATTAAATAAAAACCGAGGGGGCTTTTTGCAAAAGAACACGCCAAATCAGCACCTGACAGTTGGGGCCGCATGGTCAGATACAGGGTTATACGGCTGTCTGACCTTTTTGTTACAATTAGGCCCTAAAGTGGTACTGAACTGCGACCAACATAACTAGTGATACTGACTCGTAACATGGTGCTGAAGTGTGATAGCTCCTTGCAATTAACTCCGCCTAACCGGATAACTGCCTCCACTCCATGCAAGTGTTGTGTTTGTCTAGTACTACTTCCTTCCTTGCCTTTTGTAGTAGTACTACCGCACCACCTTCTTTTCTTTTCAGTTCCATCATATGCACGAACCCCGCGACAGTTATATTTTTGTTAAATTAAATTCCGCGCGCATCGCCTCCTCCCCGGTTCAAATCACAGCGGGGCGCGCGTGCGTGTTATTTTCAACAGAAAAAATAAATTCAGTAGGGTATTTTTTTGGCAACTAAGGGATATACGCGTGTTATTTTTTTGACAGTTATATTTTTGTTAAATTAAATTCCGCGCGCATCGCCTCCTCCCCGGTTCGAATCACAGCGGGGCGCGCGTGCGTGTTATTTTCAACAGAAAAAATAAATACAGTAGGGTATTTTTTTGGCAACTAAGGAATATACGCGTGATTAAATAAAAACTGAGGGGGCTTTTCGCAAAAGAACACGCCACATCAGCACCTGACAGTTGGGGCCGCATGGTCAGATACAGGGTTATACGGCTGTCTGACCTTTTTGTTACAATTAGGCCCTAAAGTGGTACTAAACTGCGACCAACATAACTAGTGATACTGACTCGTAACATGGTGCCGAAGTGTGATAGCTCCTTGCAATTAACTCCGTCTAACCGGATAACTGCCTCCACTCCATGCAAGTGTTGTGTTTGTCTAGTACTACTTCCTTCCTTGCCTTTTGTAGTAGTACTACCGCACCACCTTCTTCTGTTTCCAGTTCCATCATATGCACGACACGATCGGCGCATGCGTGCAAACACAAGCGGCAAAGGCTTATCATTCCCTTTTGTATCTCTATCTTCTCTATCTCCGCTACTTGAAAAGAACACATAAGGTTTTCATTTCATCTTTTTTCCCACCATCTCTTCGTCCAACCTTCTTGTATGATGATAAATTAATTTAACTCATTTTACCTTCTGAATAAATTCTATTTTAATTTACTTACCAAACTGCAGATCAAAATATAAAGTGATTCACACGTAGAATTTGCTGATCATTTATTTACACAATCTTATTATAGACAGGTAAATCACAAGCCGACGTGCTACAAGATTTATATCCCATTGCAACGCACGTGCATTATTATAATTTTGTTTAAAGAACCTTATCGCGAGGGCAGGGGCGCCTGCACATCATTAAGAAGCAGAGAGATGAACAACCGGTCTATAAGAAAAACCAAACCAAAAAACGTAACATTCCTTCGCT